CGGGAAAGCCGGGCACATGGAAAGCACCTAGGATGACTTAACAACTTTAGAAGGGATGAAATGAGCACCAGATACAATGTCCACGATGGAAAAAGTGGAGGAGAGCATCCAACCACACCTGGAGCCGGTGCCATGAGGAGGCTGTGGCCTCGGCTTGTGGGTCAAAGGCAGAGGAAAGCTTGCTCACTCCTTCCCAGATTTCCCAGCAGCTAGACACTCACCTGCAGTTAAGGAAGCAGGGAGGACAAGTTTAACTCTAAGCTGTCTTGATAACAGATGCCCTTGGCTATCGGAGGGCAGAGCTATGGAAAGCAGGTTCCAACATGTTGGGGACAGACAGAGCGAGATGCAGAGAATCAAGTCCTGCTCACCAGGACAGGCCCCAGGGATGCTGGGAACCGTGGAGGTGAAATTGACGTCTCTCTCTTAGTGCCACAAAGGGTGAGGAAAGGATGTTGTGTCTTATGAGTTGGATTGTATCCTCCCAATTTCAGTGTTGAAGGCCTGACGCCCACCACCTCACACTGGGACCTGATTAGGAAATCAGGTCCTTGCAAGATGCAATTAGCTAAGATGAGGTCAGACTGAAGTAGGGAGCCACTCTGATCCAGTACGACCACTTTGTTCATGTAAAGTGGGGAGAGCTGGGTGCAGGCATGGCTGTGGAAAGAACACTGTGTGGACATCAGGACACAGCCTTCTGTAAGCCCTGGAGTGCCAAAGATTGGCAGTATACCTCCAGAAACGGGGAGAAAGGCTGTGACAGATTCTCACTCCAGCCCTGAAGGAGGGGACCATGCAGACTTCCAGCCTCCAGAATCAGGAGAGAATTCATTTCTGTTGTTCAAACCACCCAGTCTGTGATGGTTTATTACGACAGCCCCACAGATACAGTATGTTATTCAAATTCAAAGTGATGCAGTTTTCCTGGAAAAGTCCAGGGTTCAAACCTTTCTTCTCATGAGTTATGCATCCCACCTGAGACATAAAGGTGACCATATGTTTGCCTTATGGGGTCCTTGCAAAGACGAGATGAGGTCATGTCCTTGGAGCTCTCTTAGAGTGAGAAACATAAAAGGTTTGTAACGAACTGTCTCCAGTCAAAGTTTTGCAATGAGTATTGAGCTCTAAAATTTGGAATAGTTGGAGCAGGAGCTCTTTGGATTTCAAAAGGTGAGACGTGTGCATAAAGAAGAGGGCCAAATGAGATGGCTGATCTGAAACCCAGGTTTGTCAATCACGTGCCTAGCAGTGGTAGATTCACCGTGTGCTGTGAGCAGTGTCTCATAGACTTGCCTGTTTAACAACATCAGTGTGGCTTTAAGTAGCTGTCCGTAGTTAAAATGCAGAGTGGCCAATTTTCATATGTGATTGTGATTGACAAAGACTATGACTAGAGGCAGCCAGAAGAATCCCCACAAAGGAGGCTCCAGAAAGCCCCATGGAGGGGTGGTGCTTGCTGGGTGCCATTGGGCACCCTCTTTTGATAACCTCACCATGCAGGTCAGGAAGTAGATCCTGGTCTTCCATCAAGCCAGTGCTGGCTGACCAATGGCTCTTTGCAGTTGAATATTACCATTTTAGTGGAAAATACTGTTCTAGAAGATATTGGGGGGTTGCACACCAAATATGTGCTCAGTAATATTCAGATGTACCTTTTTCCACTAAACAATCTAAAGATCTTTTTCTGTTTTTGTGAAGAAGAGAAAGGAGGAGGAGGAGGAAGAAGAGAAGGGGAAGACGAAAGAGGAAAAGGTGGGTAGGAGTGAAAGATCTGAGCTCTTGTTTAGTTTGGAAAGGAAAGGCTGGGTAAGTGTGAGTCTGGAGGATCCAGGCATCTCTCTGTGGAGTCTGCAAGAGCCAGAATAAGAGAGGATGTCTCCAGAGCTCACTGTGACTCACCACCCCCCAGGCCAGGCCCAACTCCGGCTCTCAGGTACCTGGCTGAAAGGCCTCATGGGTCAGAGGGATCACAAGAAAGCCTGGCATGACCAGCTCATCAACTGCACAGAGGGTGATGTCGATCTGAGAACAGATGAAGGCTCAAGAGGGTGAAAGGTTAACCTCCCTCCAGTTACCTAAATGCTTCTCAGATCAAGATAAAGATGGAAAGATGTGCTGACAACCACACACACACACACACACACACACACACACACACACACACACACACACCTCCTCTCGAGTTCTATAAAATAATGCAAAGATGACAGCTCTGAATGACATGTCTGTGTCCAGGGAGGTGGACACTGCTGACTGCCCCTTTTGCTGACGTTTACCTCCATTAGTGGCAACCTCGTCTTTCCTGTAACTAGGTGCATCTGGAAATATCAGCAGGAGACGTCTGGAGTGCGGCTAGCCACAGCTGAGTGCCTTTCTCCAGGTAAGTGGTCAGAGCTGTAACAAACAGGAAAGGAAGGGGAACGTTCAAATACACAGATGCATGTCATTCCCCCCCCCCCATTTAATATTAGGGACCGTGATAGAGAAGGAAATTTGCAGATGGAACCTGAAGGAGTAGACTTCAGGGAGGCCGTGGCTTTTGAAATGAGTCAAGGAGGTTCTTTGTGTTCTGAAAAATATCTATGGACAGCAATCTACTGCCTGCCCAGGGGCAAGAAGCAAAGCATTCAGAAATAGTTCTTGCCTCATGAAGACAGCTGGGACAAGATCCTCAGGACTTCCTTATCTTTTGGAAATGCTGTAAAGGCACAGGTGCAGGGAATCATTATTATACTGCATCTGATACCCTAGGTTTATTTGTCCAGTGAAATCTTTTTTTAATGACAAAAATGAAATAAACCAATTTTATTGTTATGTGCTAAGACTTTGGAATAATGAAATTTGAAATTGAGTTTGAAAAATATCTTACATGGGGAAAGAAAACTTATTTTTTTTTAATAATGTCCATATCATTCTACCATCTTCCCTCCCATACCGTTCTCCTTCCCTCCCCCTCCCTTTTGCTCAATCCAAAGTTCCCCACCCCCTCTGCCCATTGTGGATCAGCATCCACTTATCAGAGAAATAATTTATTTGGCCTTTTTTGTTGTTGTTGTTGGAGGAGACTGGCTTACCTTGCTTAACATGATATTCTCCAATTCTGTCCACTTAACCGAAAATGCCAAAATTTCATTCTTCTTTAAGGCTGAGTAGTATTCTATTGTGTATATACACCTCAGTTTTTTTTTTAATGCATTCATCTATTGAAGGGCATCTAGGCAGCTTCCACAGTTCAGCTATTGTGAATTGAACTGCTATAAACATTGAGGTGGCTGCATCACTGTGATGTGCTGCTTTTAAGTCTTTTATGTATAGACAGAGTGGAATACCTGGGTCAGATGGTGGCTCCATTCCCAGTTTTCTAAGGTACCTCCATACTGCAGTGAAATCTTGCAAAGTTTTAAGCCTAAGTGTAAAAATGGTAGTTTGCTAACCTCCCGCCACCTACATTTTTCTTCTCTTTTTGTTAATTCAACTCACTTTCTTCAGTCAATGGCTTTGTTTATTGTTTCAATGTTTGTCTGGGGTTTGCATTATCCTTATCTTGAAGGGAGTTGTTTCCAAACCTGGGTTTCTGCCTGGAGGCTTTGTCTCCAGGGCTCCTGACCCAAGTACACAGACTTCCACCTTGAGCTCAAGGGTTTCAGGATCCTTCTTTCCTTGACAGCCCTTTCTTGAGCATCTGCAGAACGGGGTCTCACTTTGCTCGTCATTCCTTCTGATCCAAGCGCTGGCGGTGCGGGAGGTGGCAGGTGCTGCGTGCACTGGGGACGAGCTCCTCAGCTCTGCAGACCCGGCTGAGACCCTCAGGAAGGTTCTCGGCGAGGCTGAAGATAACAGAACTAAGTTCAGGAGCTCAGTGAGCAAGAAGTTTGAGTTGAAGGAGGCAGCCTAGAGGAAGGAACGGCTTCCCCGGGCAGACAGAGGGGATGCGCTCCTGAGGGCGGCGGAGGCGCCTGGGGTTATGGAAATAACAGTGTGGAAGTCGCTCAAATCATAGACGTGCATAAATACACGGTGACAGGCAGGGCCCGGAGCAGATGCAAAGAGACGTTTATAATTGTGTTGGATTATTTCTTCATCGTGGAGGAAAGAATGTTAAGGGGAAAAAAACCAGAGCTCCTAAGACTTTCTCAGTCCTTAATGATTGGAGTCTGTGAGGGCGACGCGCACCCTCACCAACAGGGTTAAATGGATCAATCCGCTGCTCAGAAACTCCCCTTAAAGATTTTTCTCAGCCTTTAGAAAGAGAGCGTGGGGACCCATCGTGTCTGCGTTTCCCGTAGGGCACGAGCGCAGGCTCTGCGGGTCAGAAGCAAGATGCGCCAGAGCGGGGCCCTCTATAGAGTGTTCCCGAGACAGACCGGTGGGAGAGGAGGGGGGCCAGAGAGAGGGGAACTCATGCTCTCCATTAGGATAACTGTGTACGTCATCTCCCAAACTCATTCATGTTTTAAAACAGCTTTACATTGAAAGGAACTTAAGAGAAGATGAGTTTCCTTGGGTCGGTGGTGGGGGAATGAGTTCCCTCACCGACATCCAGGTCCTAACCCTGGAACCCGGGAGCACTTCCCTACACACAGAGGGCTTTGCAGAGTGTGCAAAGGTCTTTGAGGTGGGGGGATGATGCTGGTCAGCAGGGTGGGCCCCAAATCTGGCTGCAATTGTCCTCACAGGAGGGAGAAAGGAGGCTGGAGGACAGGAGGGAGGGATGGCAGAGGCTGTCCTTGGAAGGCAAGGCAAGGATCCAGGGCCAAGGGAAGCAGGAGCCACGAGCTTGGGGAAGGGAAGAGAAGGGATTCTCTCCAGACCTGCAGCAGCCCAGCTGGCCCGGCCTTTGCTTGGTGGCCTGGAATCAGCTTCAGAGCTCTCACCTCCAGGACCGGAAGGAGTAGCACTGTGTGAGCCAGGCCGCAGCATAAGCGGTGATGTGTTTCAGGACAATGGGAAAAGAACACTCAGACTCACCAGTCGTCACACTGGGATACATTTCCCATTCTCTCTCTTCCTGTCTCTCTGTATACCATTAGCATCATCATGGTAAACGTATTATTATCAGGAACTGTTTAGAGGTGGAAGCCAGGACACTCCTAGTGAAGGCAGAAATGGTAGTAAGTAGAAGCCAGGGCCATCCTGGGGAAGCCAGGGCCTTCCTGGGAAAGCCAGGAGCATCCTGGGAAAGCCAGTGCCATCCCGGGGAAGCCAGGGCCTTCCTGGGGAAGCCAGGAGCATCCTGGGAAAGCCAGGAGCATCCTGGGAAAG